CCGAATTCGACCAAATTAGTGCTTAAGGCCCTCCCATAGGCACATACCTACATTATAGATGCAATTAAATTAAACTATTATTTTCTAATATTCTGTTTTATGCAATCGATATGCCACATGGTGGGTTCCAGTGTGTAGAATGTCTTCGAATTGGTTTACTGTGGCCGATCAGTGTCATCGGCCAATTTCTATAGAGCCTCACTTATCTCTTTCGATCAAAGGTAAAGATTGGATTTTGCTGCATTAGCGTTCTAGTTTGCAAAAGTCCACGCTACAGTGTATATATATATATATATATATATATATATATATCATGTTACTATACATCTATATACGACTCCCGAATCTTTCAAAAAATGCCTCACTTCAATGCAGCATATAAAAGTAACATATGAAACTTTAATAGCATATAAGTTAAGGGTTCAACGTTATAGTATATCATATTAGTCTTGCTTTATGGGCACATATGTTGTGTCAATATATAATAGACCAGGCTTAAACTTAAAACGGCTCGGACTTAGGATCTAGGAACTTGCTAAGTTGACTAGTACATCTGTATTCTATACCATTAAGAGAAGAACAATCGCGGTATGCTACAATGATCGACCAGGTTTGTATCTGGTAATAAACAAACAACAAATAGGAAAACATTCCATTGTTTTTTTTTTTGAATAAGAATTCACACCATCTTAGTTACCACACGGTGGTTCCATTGTACTGCGTTGCGTCTAGCGAAAGTATTCCAAAACATATGGGCACTATATGAAGCAAACGAAAAACGCCGCAGCTAAGCTTTAAGCATGTCCGTTAATTTAACTATGCGAAGATTACCTGTCTGTTTTGGCTTCAAGACTTCAAAATTATATGACAGTACACCGTTTGACACAAGATAACAATGACAGAAACGATAGGTAATTACTCAAGAATAAATAACAATCACGAACATCGGATAGTCGAACTTCAATATGTTAAGATACTCAGAAACATAGAAGACCATTTCTTTAAACCCAAATGTAAATCCTAACAATGTTCTATTGCCTCGAAATACTCCACTCATATATATATACGCAGTCAATCTGTCTGACGCTATTTGCTCCACCGTTCTGGTAACAATCAGACTGCATTGCGCTCTCTGTTGCATTTAGTTCATACTCATAGATGACGTCCCGACCAGGGCAAGTCAGAAATCTACGAAGTCGGTCGATTTCTGTGTATAAAGAAGTCTGTAGTATACTTCAGTCCATTGACATTTAGTATCGAGGCGCGATAACTTCGAGTCGCTGTCCCCGAATCCGGTTGTAGTTATGCTTGTAGCAACTTTCTTTTTACAAGCTTGTAGCTCGTAGAGAAAGTTCTAGGCGACTCTCATCCCCATTACAGAGCAGAAACGCCCTTCGTTTATTAAATACCAGCATGTAGCTATTTAAAATAATAGGTAGCCAATAGTCGGCAGCAGGGCATCGGTGTTCCTTCCAGAAGCTGCGCGAAGAGCGTTGAAAAATGAAAATGGATTATTCAATGTAGGCGACCTATGCTGTTGACTTTAACGACAAGTTACAAGTTATAGATTTAGTAGCTCGGTATGGATTTATAATAGCACGTTTCCAAGCGATTTTATTTGTCAAATATCTATACCTATTACAATAACGAGGTAAACGGCAGGTTTACTCACGAACTGTAGTAGCAAGCGCATTTAACCCGTAGTAGACACAATTGCAGCCGATTTTATTGATAAACAGATATTCTCGTAAACATGCTCAGGGCAATACTTAGCATGTAAATGTTTAGCTTCGGTATGAAGAACAGCTGTGGAACATTATCTGCTATCTTTGGCTCTATGAAGATATTCTTATAATAACGTTATTATATATATATATATATATATATATATATATATATATATATATTGTGTGATATAGGTGTGATTTTACTGGATATAAATGTGGATATTTATAAATGAACATGTAGTTTCTTCAAATATATATACAATGTAGTTATTAAGTATACCCTAAGAACATAGAAGAACGTTTAATTAAAAATGGGTTTTCACTTCAACAAAGAGTAGGTTCATGACTTTTATCAGAAGAAAACTTTGTTGCTTCCTAATGTCAAATGCTTCCTTCTTTTTTCCCACAAATATTAAGGATCCACGCGAACTTTGACCGTCTTTGGCACTGCGAACCTTGATAATGATGACTTCTATATTGTTATACTTTACCACTTATTAATCCTGCTGGTGGCCTTTGGAGGCAAAACCTATCCAGTAGCAGCTTCTAAGAAATTCTATCTTCCTTAAAATATCATTTAATTTTTTTTCAAAATTATATCATCTTTAAAAGGCATAAGTAAGTTACAAGTGTTATATTCCCTATAATAAATTTAAAAGTAAGAAGCACTTGTGTACTTTCATTATTCCTCGTTGAACTGAGCACGCACCAATTGATCTCATAGATACAAGTTAAAACTATTTTTGTCAGTTAAATTAATTGATCTAAAGAACAATTTATCTCAACTTTAGTGACGTATCAAATGTGTGAACTTCTTCTTCAATATTAACAAACTCCTAATTGTTTTCTCTTGGGCTGGCCAATATGTATCAATCAGGAGAATATCAGGATTTTGTAAAGTAAGCTATCATTGTGCAATGAGAATTTATTTTGGAACCACGTTCCTCAATCTTATGAATAGAATCTGACAAATAGAACAAACAGTGCAATATCCACCTTATTAGAGCAAAATTATTTTCAATAGTGATACTCAACCAGACCTATTAAGACTCGGAATGTCTATGAAGTTTCTGTCTATGAAGAACCTTTAGTAACTAAACCTCACGTTTAATAAAAAAAAAAAAAGTTTCTAGCTCTCACTCTCATAGTTTCTTAGATACTACGATCATTTAAATGGTACACTAGAAATTATCTACACGTCTAAAAGAATGCAATATACTTTACTTTATGATAAACTTTTAGGCTATATATGTATATATTACTCGATAATCCTAAGTATAGTCTCAAGTACAATAAGAGCGTTTATTTTGTCTTGACATTGTCTATATTTTATTAGCCACATAGACAATTGTAAGCGCAGAGAATTAAGCACATCTTTATGAACTCATCCAGTTTAAATTTAGAGATTTTTACTTTACAGGGCTAGAATTGGGAAAAACTGTGAAACCCCACCAAAAGCCTGCCATTAGGCGTGGCCCAAAGATGAGTTTCACCACAGTCCACTCTCAAATAAACGAATTGTTGAAAAAGAAAAATTCACACTGTTCCCACTAATAACATCGGATTATAATCTTCATCGTTAAACTGTGTTGGCCCTCTGTGTTGGCCCCTCTGTGTTGGCCCAATAAAGAGCATTACCGTAAAACTAGTCTAATATCTCATGATTTCAGCCAATGTTGGCCTCCGAAGAATCTAGGCTATTGAATAAAATATCTTTAATACATACTTTCTAGCATGTTGATTCTAACTTTTGACTAAGTAAGTGCACATTTACCTTATGACGATGTAGGTAGCACCTTCTTGCAACCGGAATTATAGTTGACATTGTACGATATCAATATCGTCATATCAAAGGCGTCTCTAACTCTGCACCGATAGGTATACAAAACCTAGATATTCTCAATTGTTTTCATATGACAACGGCAACAAATTTGCCCCCGTGATAATGCAGCGGCAGCAGATTTACGCAGACAGGTGGGGGTAAAGAGGATTGAAATCTAAGCATGAACCCACTTCGATCGTCGACTAAACAGGATAGAGATAAGTATAGCAATAGCTTTCTTTGTAAAGAAGACAGCTAAGAGTTGGATATGGAAAATTTGTTTATGGTTAACTCAGCAGAAAAACAATGGCCACTTTCGTACTGGAACATAAAGTGTTAAACATAAAGCAGATGATTGTCAAAGGGTGACAGGTCAGTGTATCATCTGCAGGAGGTTTGTTTTCATGTACAAGTCGTATGGGAACATACGCACTATTTCTTGGACTTCATATTGACGTGTGCAGGGTATGCAATGATTCCAGGACCGCGTGCTGCCTCGCTTCGACATGACTCAAGTAGTCATAGACGTGTGTCTCACCTACGTCTCTGTTTGAGTAACGCAAGTTATCAAAACAAAATGAAAACAATACAAGCAAAAACCATATGATAATGTAGTTAATCTACACGCACACACGACACTTCGATAGCAGCGAAGTATTTAGCTGACTCACAAAAGCAGGGACATAATATTTGCGCGCAGTACACAAATGAGCGTCGTAGGGTATTTGGTGTTGCCTAGAAAAGTTCCCACTCTCCAAGAAAATATAAGCGTACAAATAGAGTGGTAGAATAGATACGAAATAGGACTTATTAAGAAGCTTTCTATTTTTTGAAAAATCCTTTGCCTATCAATAAAGTGTTGACCGCGATAATATCGGACCGATAAATTTATAACAGTGTCTGTCCATAACTATGCAACTTGCTAAGTAATATCAGATTAAAATATTTAAAATACAATATGAGTTAACTTCACAATGCTCCCTATATTAGCGCGAAGGCTAGAAAGATGACGAACAGCCAAGAGGACACGTTAACTTGCAGCTTCGACAAAAACTCATGCTTCCATGTCACCTCTAAACGTTTACGACAGGAAACTTGGGCGCAAACACAATCGTTATTTTACGGTGTTTATGTTTACGCTAATACGACGACCCTGCATGAATATGTTTGCCCACGCCGATACTGTTGGACTTACCTTGCAAGTACGGTAAGAAGTTTTCACCCGCCTGCATCTCTATCTCCCATTGATGTAACCGCATTATTTTGTCGAAGCTACTGCTAGTCCATAGCTATCTGTCTAGAAAGCCTGGAAAAACCCCGCCTATATTCGCTCGTAACAGCTGCAAAAGTAATCTTGCCGATCAACCCCCTCGCCGCCCCGCCCGCCCCCATTGAATAGACGGCATGATGAGTCGATTGATAGCACTTACTACAGTCTTTCGCTACGCGTGTTACTTTTCGGAAACCCCACACATATACCGCACGAACTAGACACACCAGGAGTAAACAACATAGCCGAAACGTATTTTGTCTCGCAAGGTTGTTTACTAATATTGAAAGCGATAACGCTCAATTGATGCCTCTGCGCAAATCGACGTACTTCCATCTGCTAGCATTGAAACTTCGGTGCTAGCTATAGTAACTCACGGCCATCTGGAATTACCCCGTCCTATACACGTTCTAGAAACAGCTGGAGACAATCAATTGGCAAGTCCAGGCCACACAATCGTTGAGGTCAGAGATACACTGCACTCGAAACAATCAAGGCTCAAACTTTTATTGGTAAACAAAAACACGCTGGCTTGTTCGAACACAACCAGAGACTATTAAACAAGAATACAGTCAATTAAAACGGTAATCCAGATTGATATTATGTGCTGAATAATGCTTAGAATCAACTTCCCTCTGAGAGAATACAGAAATTGTGTTTTGCTCTTTCGCAGACGTCCGTCTTAGAGGCTCTAAAGTGTTTTCTAGCATTTAAAATCCATTGCGTTGCCGACGCCTGCAGATGCATAAACTAGTTCACAGCTAAATTTATCTAATGTTTATTTTTTTTTTTTTATCCGAGGGAACTCGGTAATGTTGCCATTATACCAAAATAGAGTACTGAATATTTCGTTACAAATTTTGTTAAAATAACAACGATCGCCGACAACTGGATAAAATTGTATGAAATAATTCCTCAAGTCAAAATCACTTGGCCATACGTGCGATCAATTACCACTTAATCCCCATAATGCGTTTACCCACGACTAACAGGTGTCGTGTCAACAAAACAGTCTAAGGTGTGACATTTACGCCAGTTCCTATTTCGCAGCTCGGTTTTTTCTATTCTTGTTCGCCCCCCTGTGGCAATATACTTATTAATCCCTCTTTTTCACTCGACACTCCCGTAAATTAACTGCACTCGTTTCACACTCCAAATTTGACAACTTTCCCATCGTCTGTATCCAGCGCGCGCTCGTCGTTTCAAATCTCATTTCTACCTTCCTCTGTCCTCCGCCACCCGGCCCACTGATCTGAGCACCCCTTTTCGCCATCACCCACTGCGCGCGGACCGCCCGTATCACCCGCACTTTAAACATCTCCAGCAAGATCAGCGTCGTTCGCCATGTTCTTCAAGAATCATCACCGTCACCATCATCGGCATCATCATCATCGTCATCGTCATCATCATCACTGGTAGCAGCGGCAGCAGCAGCAGCGGTACGATCGACACCGTCGTATCGTCTGGGCTGTGTCGACTGTGAGCGAGCGAGCGAGCGAGCAAAGAGCTGCCGTTGCGGCCGCCACCGTAGTGAAAAGACGGAAGGAGCTCCCTCCAGCCAGTCGAACATCGCCGCCACCGCGGCCGCTACAGCAAGTAAGCCGATAAACGAAAAAGAAGATCCGAGCAGATCTTACGCTTTGTTCTCTCCGGCTCTTCGGCACGACGGCAGGCAGGCAGGCAGGCAGGCAGGCAGGCAGGCAGGCAGACAGGCAAGCAAGCACGAGTCACTGGCTGAAGTAGGCAATAGACAAACGGACGACGAGCGAAAGCTAACGGCAGCAGTTAAGTTTTGCTTGTAGTGGCAGCAGTCGTACGTAACAATCGTAGCTTAATGTCCGTCTGCTGCTGCTGCTGCTGTTGCTGCTGCTGCTGCTGCTGCTGCTGTGGGTTTGATGTTGTGTCCCATTGCTCGTGCTGCAGGCCGGTATCTTTTTCTGTGATGATGAGTTTTGTGGCAGCCGCTGCCGCTGGTGCTGCTCGCCATCGATGAAGCGTCGGTGGTCACTACTTCTGCGACTGCAACGATAGCGACAACAACAAGCGATTCAAGCCGCTGTGAATGTGTGTGCGTGTGCTATAAGAAAAAGAAGTGGCTTATTCAGCGAAGCTGCCATCAGTTGTTGTTATGTAAAACGAAAACAGTTACATAATAATAATCATATTAGTAACAATAATTGTCATTCATTATATAGATATGATATTTGACGACGAGTGACACACAAGACATAATCAGAAGTGCCGTGCTATAGCCAAGTGCCGTTATCCTTTCGAGAAGAAGCGGTAGGAGAAACAGCGACGAAGACTTATTGAAGTGCGACCAAGTAAAGAAAAGGTGATATAATACTACTGTTGGTTGTCAAGTTATAATCGTTATCGCTATCGTACCCATTATCGGCATCGCTGCTTCTGTGTGATCAGTTTTTTTCGTCATCCCGGTGCCATTTTTGTCACTTGTGTGAGTATATATATACGCACATATATATTATACATATATGTGTATGTATATATATATATAAATACGCGTTCAGACGTGTGTGCGTGCGTGTAGCAAGCGCATAAGCAAAGCGATAGTCTGGTGGTAACTACAACTTCAATTATACGAGGCACGAGTACTAGCCAAACAGAAAAAGACTGTCAGTACATGGCTACGAAGTAGTTGTGCCTGTGTGTCAGTGAGAAGTGCCTGTTTTCCGGTAATTTCAGGCTCGTTTTCTCTTCGGTCTCCTGACCGGCCACACTAGAACGTTGGGTGCAAGTGGGATTTTGTCAACTGTGTCCTTGATTATTCTATGATGTGTAAGAACATGTGGAAACGTGAGCAGGTATTTGTGTGTGTCTAATGATCGATCATCGACAGCAACCGACTAACGCTCTAAAGGGTAAAGAATCGAACGAAAAAATGTAGGGTTTTTGTGTATATAGAGCAAGTGCCGGGCGCTAGTACCTTGTTGTGTTTGTTTGGTTGCCCGGCTTAAGGGTGAGGTCCTAGACGAGTTCAGTATGTGAAAAGCCAAGAATAACGTTAACTGTGAGCGTAGGCTCCGGACAGGTTTGAGTTTTCCCCACTCGTTTTCACTCCTAATCTTAGATGCAAAAATATAAGAAAAACCCGCTTTTACTTAAGTTGTACTTTGAATTAGAATATTACATGTGCTGGCTTGCGCCGTCCTTCGTAAAGCGATTTACTTCGTACTTAGTGGTGCTTGTGCTAAGTAACTGTGAGTGGACAAAATGAAAACCTCAATGGCTACCATTCAAACCTCTAAAAAACCGAACCACTTTTAGTCGGCTGCTGGCTCCATAGATTCATGTCATGTTATTTTTTGCTTTATCACAGGTTGTACGAGTATGATAGCTGGACAGTTTTCAAATCGAAGTGTTCCTCCACAGACCGTTATGTACCAAGCGGATTGTTGTTGTGTATAGCAAATACACGGTGTTGAGCGGCAGCGCGTACCGCGTCAGCCGTAATTGTGACGCTGGCGACGATTGACATTGTAAAAAACCTTTTCGGGCCTACGCATACGGCAACAAACTGGACGTTTCGTCGTCATCTTCATCGTCACCGTGATCCTCATCGTCATCGCCGTCGCCGTCGACGTCGTCGTCGTCGTCGCTGTCGTCATCGTCGTCCTCGTCGTTGTCGTGAGGCTTGCGGCACCTGTCTCAAAGAGGCAATACGCAAAACTGGAATGTGAGACTATAGCACTGAGAGTGGGTGTCTATCACGGGACTGATCTGCCCAGGTCTTCGAGAGTGGCGACGAAGGCTGAGTGTCAATGTTTCATGTTGGAGCAGGAAGCAACAACAGATAGAGACAGGCAGAATAAAAGCCGGAAAATAATTTAGAAGAATAAATGAGGCAAGCAAAAGAGCGCTTGCAGCAGACAAAGCTCAGGTGCCCTTGCTATCCGAGCACGTCTAACTACAGGTCTGTAGGCATAAGGCTACGATTGCTTTATGTGTGCATAGAGGCGGTTTTGATTTGCTGTGTAACTAGCTACTAGTCAGTCAGCCTTTGAAATAACCTCAGCTACAGGCAGCTTCGAGTTCTTCACGCAGAGAAAACTGCCATTAACATATTCTTCGTTCACGTGCATCTCGAACGAGATACTGTTGCTGTATTGCTTGTACCTTACATTGGTCCTTGTGGTACTCTGCGGTTTCTATCTGCTCTATGTAGTGCCGAAGGCCAGAAACTACGGCATATAGTCACTCAGCCTCACTTAGTGTCCGTAGCTTCGTTGCTGGCTAAGGGTTGTTTCGGCCATTGATGCATATACATGCATACATGTATATATGAGATCCTATAAGCCTGTGACAGGAATGCATGTACAACCGTCTCATATTGAATGCACACTACGGGCGCTGTACACCATCGATGCAAGTGAGGTTCGTGTCAGATCCTAGCGCACGAGCCGCACAGAGCCGTACCGTGGTCAAATTACTTAAGTGAGCGCCCACTGATACTGGCGCCAGGCGACGAAATGCGGAAAAAATAGCTGGGTGGTGCGAGGCAACCGAACAAATTATGAAAACATTATAACATACCGACTCACGTAGTATCATCAGATAAATGCGAGAATCTGTTCGGTTGGCAATATTAGTCGAAGAAAGGTTATTACGTTTCAACTATTTTTGTAAAAACGAGCACCATCAGCTGGGCCGACATACATTCCGAGCCTACAACATTTATGACATAATATGGTATAGCAGATGTGCATGGCTCGGAATTGCTCATTCCATCTATGTCCATTCCATTCGCTCATCAAATAGCATCACGACCGGCAGTGAACCGATGCTGGTTGTGTTACTGTCAGATCTGCACACTCCACAAAGGCGTGTAGGCCTAGACCAGATTGACGAATACGATCGTATGGAGCTGACGATAGTATTAGTTTCTTATTCATGAGGAGACATTGATGGTCAGAGCAACCGTCACGTTCATCGGGATGCCAACTATATTCTGCGGATTATGTTCGAGGTCTAAAGAAGCGGTCTCTAGTATACGATTTTATGAGTATGTGGATAGCCGTGCCTCTGAGTACCTCTGTTCCACTTCTTCGATCGTCCGTGCCGTCGGTCAGCACCGAATTGCTGCTAGAGACGATTCATCCAACTTCCGCTAGCTGGATCCTTGTTAAGGCTCCTCTCTACCCTCGCAGTATCGATACAAGCCGTTTTGTTTGCATCGGTAATAGCTGTCACTTAGAAATGGCCTTGTATCGGACCACGGCAGTGAGGTACTGTCCAGCCGACCATTGGAGCCCGGAAGATGCTCCACCTCGGCAGCACAACAACGGAGATCCACCGTACACTAAATGTGGAGGATTTTTCGTGCTGTGCAAATGAATAGTCATATTTATAGACAGAGGTACATAATCATACAAAGTATAATCACCGGCCAGAAAACAACAGCAGTACATTCTAGAAAATATAAAAGGTTTACGTTGTTCAAGTGCGGAAAAAAAACAGAATAGTCAAAAGCCGATGCAGGTCTCGCACGCACTTAACAAGTTAGTTATTGTTGTGCATTAGGACGATTCGACAGTATCGGTTGATTTGCGCCTAGCGCCTTTTACTACTAGTAGTTCGTTTTAAGTCAGAACGTTCAGATAGCGCATAAGTTATCCATCGTGACGATAGCGGGCGTTTGTTACACAACAACTTAGCACAGGCACAATACAGCCAGTGGAAAAGAGATAGTTCGGATGGTCACATGTAGCAGTTTACTACAATCCTGAACAAAAAAGCTTCAAAAGTAGTTCTCTCATTTGCCTGTAGTAATGAGTGAGGTCACGATGATAGTGCGCTTCCGCATGTTCAAGTTGCACCTAGTTTTTGGAATTACAAGCAATCATAAATCCTCTTCAATATCTCAAACTCTAGAATTAACAGAAAAAAAAAACATTGAGTTATCGCGATCGACTGGGCAGCCAAGCATCAGGTTGAAAGCAACTACGGATTATTACTTCATCGATGCATACCTGTGTGAATAAATGAAGTTTTTTATATTTGTTCGTTGCATAAGTTTGCAGCGGTTCTAATGAGTTCTATGAAGTTCTAATGAAAACCATTTTTGCCTGGACAACTTCAATCAATGGTCTATTGGCCATTGTTAACAGCGACTCTCGCTTATCGTTCGGGCAGCCTTTGAATTTCATTTTTGCATTAGTTGATGTATTTGCGATAAACTAATCGATATTTTGGATTTTTACACTTTTTTAAAACATAGAATTCTTCAAACTCCGTGAGTTTTGTCAAGAAAAATTTGATGGCAGCGAGGAACAAGGTTGGTTTTATAAGCTGAGTAAGGTAACATACCTCGGTATAACTTCAACAGCTTTTGGCAAGCGCCTAAAAAGTGTGAAGTCGGGCGTTGTCATGGCAAAGCCTGACTCCTTTCCTGTTGACCATAGTCGAGCGCTGTTTTTGAATACTAACACATGCGCTAAACACATGAGCCGTTCTTGGCAGTAGACTCAACTAACGGTTTGATTGTTTGAAAGAAGTTCATAGAAGACTACACCTATGTAATCCCATCGATATATCGTATCATTTTGCTTGAGTAGCGTTCAACGGTTCTTTTAACAGCGCTACCAAGCTATGACCATGATTTGTTCTGAGTGACGCTACCTTTCACTACCTACTTTATTCGATGGTGGTTGGTCGAATCATTAGGAACTCAGACATGTCTACTCGATGGACGTAATCGTTACTTTGACGCGACGATTTGAATGTTCCTCTATTTGCTACAAGCTGGCGAATGCCCAAATCCAGTAGGGCGAGAATTTCAGCGTCGTTACGTGTATTGTTTTCAACGCTGAAGTCACCACTTCAAAAACGAACAAAGTACTTCTTGACTGTGTGGTCAGCTGTCGTATTCGGTCCATGCACCATATCTTGGGTTACATTCAGTTTTCTTCATAAATAAAACTCCAACATCGGCTTTAAGTGCACTTTTAGCATCGCTGCCTTCGGGGGCTTGTGAAACCTGCAACGTACTATTAAATCAAGCGCAGCGCCAAAAGACAACCGGAAATAACCCTGCAAGTATAGAGAAGCAAAGTAATCTTTCTGAAAGCAAACTTTATTTGTGGACTTGAAATTTAAACCGATTAAAAATCTGAGAATGTCAAAACTTAACTTGCATATGAATTAGCAGCTGCAAGCGTGCCCATGCAATTTCGCTTTTCGCAGCGGTTCTTTTCACTCCTCGAAAGTTGTTCGACAGTCTCAGCGGCCTTTCAATGGTGTTCACCGTAACACTAGGCCTTCGGTGTTTTCCGTCCCTTCTACGGTCCGAATATGGCGACTTACTGGCAACAAATGTGGCCTGCCCCTAATGGAGATTTAGCCTCGTCCTGCGTCCTCTACAAACTAACAGAAATCGATTAAACAGACAACGCGACAGGTCACAACGTCTCGCTCGCACAGGTCCGGTGAGACGCAGATCGCGTTGTTACCACAAAATTATGAAAGATTAGGGCATCGGTCGGAAGCTGGGAACATATCTGCTAGCAGCTAGGGCTTTTATGCCGTAACCGAATCCGAACTAGCAGCTGTTTATTAAGTATATTTGGACCTAAAACAATATTATAGAGTAAATAAGTCCAATGAAAGTAATTTTCCATATATAGACTCATTGATCTGTCTTTTGACCTAGTAAAGCTGGTCTGGTAGCAGTCTTTTTTCTGCGGTTTACAATATTCTATATTTATCACTATTCACAGTGGGTTCTCTCTTGCTTCACGTTATCCGTGACTTACTCATTGCATCGAAATGCGCAACTTGGCAACATTATACTGCCTGCTCTTGATTTCGTATTGTCAAGCAAATGTATCTGCATTTATTTCTATATACATTTATACGGAGTATGTTAACAATCAAGCGGTGTTCAAATGGTAGCGAATATTCTTCGATATACTGGCTATAATTTTATTTTTTTTTTATGACAGGTCACATAAAAACAATTTGTAGAAGAATGCAAGTACGTCTAGTTTACCGTCCTTGTCTACACACGCTCACACACACACACACACACACACACACACTTACTCACACACACCCATAAAACAGCAGTTAGCGACTCCTTTCGGAGGATAGACGATACTCGTTTGTAATTGAACACACACAAGTAGATCGACACTTTTATCAACATCCACGATGTAATATGCGGCCATAATTAGCCTGCTTGTTACCTATTAGTTTTCTAACTGTTACAACCATCGCTACGTTCACCAGATTTGTTTTTTTTTTTTAAGCTGGCTATGTCCTTGCTTTTGTATGTATGATATAGTATATCTGATATGTATGACCATTGAATTGGTCGTCCGTATTTCTGGGCTGTCGTCGCTCTGCCTGCTGCTATGGCGAGACTGACACCCGGCCCTCGGTGCGGGCGAATAGCCGACCGACCAGAAGTACTGATGGGGTTGCAGGCGGGCAAAATCTACAAGGGCAGACAAAACACTGGTCCACTTGCTTTGCATCTTGGCAAAGGGTACGAACAGCGACAATATCTGTACCAACAGCTGGCCATTGGTCGCGGGTTGACTGATTCACGACAGATTAGCCCCTTCCATTTCCTGTAGTCAGCTAATATAACATCTGCAGCTTAACTGGCGGCAGTTGTGCTGATGCTGACAGCTGCTGTAAGATGTGTGGGCCAGCGCCCCCCGAGGAAATAGATTGCTTGTGGCGACTGAAAATGTTTGGCCGAGATGCTACCCCTCATCCCCAGCCCACGACTCAACGATGATTTAGTGGTCCAACAAGCGCCTACCTGCCCGCTCGCCCGTCCAACATCCGATTTAGCTTGTAGCGGATCTCCAGCGTGATGAACAGCAACAATATCTGGAAAAGAGTGATATGTTATTAGCTAGGCTCGAGTTATTGATTTCCATTAAGGTTTACCTTTATCTTTATATA